TGATGATCCTTGAACTCCGGGCCTGGTATGCCATTACATAACTATACAAAGGGAAGAAATTACTAATTGCTCTCTCTTTCTCTCTCTCTACCTTAGAGCGCCTAACGGGGTGACAAGGAGAGGGCTGTCACATCGCAGTCCCGGGCCTCTTCTCCTCGCGCGAAACCTCGGTGACGTCGAAGTTAGAACTAGGCCGATGGCGCATCAGCGCGGTCCGTAGGCTGATCGAGCCAAACATCTGCTCGTGGAAACCGAGTATACCCGCGCTTCCAAAGGAGCCGCGCGCTTGCTGATGGGACTCCTGGGATAGCGAGATGTCTGGGTCCTCGGATGGGTCTGGGCTCGACTCCCTTTGCCATGGTCGGAAGGTGTCTTCGCCCTCCGAGTTGCCGCCTTCGGGGGTGGCTGCTGGAGGGGACGAGAAGGTGAAGTCTGGCTTAGACTGCGCGAAGGTGTCTTCATTAGAGCTCTCACTTCCGGTGCTAGTGTTGCCTGTATCTGGATGTTTACTATCTACAGGCGTCGCCAACATAGCAACTTGCGTATGCTCGACACGTGCCACAGCAACAACAGGTGTCTTGACTGTCCCGTTAACCAGTAGTTTCTGGTTAAGATTTGAGTTGACAGCTTTAGTGCTATTCTTCAGGGACACTTTATCGCTTTCTGGGAGGGTAATGTTGCTCTGATTCTGTATAGTTTCGCTCACACGAAGTGGCGACGAGCTTGCCGGCTTCGTGCTGAGTTGTGGAGACGGCGTGCGAAACAGCTGGCTTTTTAGCAAATCCTGCTGTGCTTCTACACTCATGTTCCCTGACTCCCTAACATCTTCGTCGTCGCTATCGATAATTGCATTTTTAGGGTAGTCCACCTCGGCACTAAGACGATGTCTCTTGGGGGTTATCACTATAATGTTCAGAGGTTAGTGTTTGCTATTAGGGGGTACCTAGAGAACAAAGGAAAATTGCTAGGAAGACTTACAAAGACTACTGCCAGGAGAAGAGTCGCCCCCAAACACCAGGCTAGGCGTCGAAGCAATCGAATGCTCATAGATTGGGGCCGACTCTACTCCCTTCTCTTGGTTTGCCGCTACAGCAGCCTCCCTCCCTTCGTGCTCCCCTGATTTTACATCACTTTGTTGGGAAGTCAGCGTCGATGGTTTGTGTAGTAGTAAGTTGTTGGTTTCGTGCTGACCGAACATATCCTGCAGTGATTTCCTCTCGCCTGAGCCTTCGAGTTCTCCGTAACTATGCGCCCATGGCACTAATGGGAAGGCTCGAGCACCCGTTTTTGAGTAGTATAAAACCATCGATGATCGCCGTACGGGAATAGGAGGACGACGGGTCGGGGACGGTGGTGCGGAATGCGCTTTGGGGGTAGCTTCAGGGGTAGGGGTAAAGGGTCTTGGATGTTCGTTCCCTATCACGCTTTTAGAGCTGGGAACGACGGCGCTGGCTTCTGCATCCGTTGTTAGATATGAAGAGGCCTTGTGCTGTTCCGTAGTATTTGGCGAGGTAGACCCAGCAGTCTCAGGTCTGCTTATAAAGGTTTTAGCGTCCGTATTTCGAGTATCTCGAGTAAGCGGCCTCTGTTCCAAAATAGAAGCTTCCTTTCCAGCATCTTCGTCTCTCTCTTCTGCGTCATCTACTGTTAGGGTATCTTTGCAGACCATTTCAATAGCCCTCTCAACGCGTTGTTGCAGCCGTTTCAATACATAATCCTTTGGCTTCCCGGTTGATTTGGCCTTCTTCTTTTCCTCCGCCCCAAGGGGTTCTCTGGCCACGAAAGTCTTGTCCAAAATAAAATGGCCCCGCTTGTGCGCAGTCATTCGAACGGATATAGCATTGCCTCGAAGTATTTCCGCAACGCTGGCTTGAATTCGATCCAGTATCGCTTCGATATCTCTCCGGGGATGGAAATCAGAGGAAGGTAAGGTAAAAATGAGCGGCTCATCCAGCGCCCAGCCATGACCACGAAGTTCTGTGATCCTGAATTCAAGGTCGTTCATTCGGCTAATGACACCATCGGCATCATCTCGAACTTTAGCGAGAGCAACTTCTACTTGGTTGGTAAATGTCACACATTTTTCGGTGTCAGAATGAAAGGAGAGGTTGCTATTGCAGTGTACAGTCCGCTCTAGGTGGAGGAATTGAGGACCGAGGTTATTCGCGATGGAAAGTTGCAATTCCAAACCGTCATTATCATGATGACGACAGTCTTTACACCCGTCCAAGTTCACACACTTGCTGTGTTTATTTCTAAACGTCTCTCTTTCTGATCGCAAAACACCGTCCAGTGCGTAAAAAGCCTCGAAAAATAAGTCCTCTGCCCCTATCGAGTTCAGCGGTGCCGCTTGGTTGCTGTCGACTTTGACTTTCGTATGCCATTCGTGTGGCTTTCGACGCTGGCATCGACTCGTCAAGGAGAAGTTGATCGTATAACCGGGCAACGACTCGAAAGATTGTGATTTCTCAAGGAAGTGGGAGCGCGGTACGCACGACATAGGCTGAACGCGTCCGGCCCGATGTGGAAACTTGGCCTGCTCGTCTAACGGGTCTTCTCTTACAAAACCCTCCTTCATGACAAAATCATGATCGTGGTGTTTTAAAAACAACCCTATTATGTGATGAGTCGATGTGATAATCTCTCTTGCGGCTTCGTTTGATAGGGCCTGCTTTTGATATGACTTGAAGGTCCTGGAAGACCATATCTCGGACCAACCTCGAATAATATCGATCTGGATCTCGTATCTCAATGGCTTGTCCGGACCACTCGCGGCGGCATATTCCATGGCGGTCGAGTCTTTGCGAGTGATCAACTCATAGCAGCAGTGATCAACCCGTCGCAATAGGCCTTGGCATAATGCGTCGGTGGCCAGGAAATCAGGCGAAGTCTCATAGCTACGACTGTACGAATAATTCAATGGCTCATCAAAAGTGATAGTGACCTGCACGGCGAGACTTGCTACAGGAAGAGAACTTTGCGATGAGGATAGTAGCTTCGGCTCGGGAGTTTCGATCTTTGGAATATTGACTTCGGGTTCGTCAATTTCGGCATTGTCAATATCGGGATCGTCGATATATGGGGTGTTGATCTCAGGGACGGGGGTCTCAGGGACAGAGATGGGGACTTCAGAGGCCTGGGAGGGCTGGAAGGGCTGAGGGATAAGCGCAGGGGAAGACCCCACCACCAACACTTCCTGATTCTCTTTCCTTTCATGACGATGAACCCTGAACTTTTTTACATCATTAACGAAGCTTTTGAACTTTCCGGGGAAGGCCCCCGACTTAGGCCTCCGTTTCGACGAGACGGAATCCATTATGTAGATCCTCGTAGACGAGAAGGTAGACAAATGAGCAATGGAACATGTCTATTAGAGTATGCTAGGGGGGAAAAAAAGAAGGGAATGCAATACATATGGCTGTATAGATATGAAATATACGTCAGTTCTGCCTAAGTAAACCGGTACCCGCGGCTATCAAGATCTCACGTAGGACTTATAACATGCCACATATTGCGAGGCACACCCGCCGGCTTTGGCATGCATAGCCGTACGGATGGTATGATAGGAGCATCCTTTCTGTGGAACTTGGTGATAAATGGCGGCATTCCAAGCTCTTATCCAAGCTCTTACTACGAACGCGTTCTGGTACTGGGCCGGCCAGAATCGGGAGAGATAAGTCTTAGGTAGTCTTAGGTAGAAAGAAGTTGGATACCAATCCTATCAATCCAGTCAGCAAATCACGCCTAGACAACACAACATACGACCCCGTTGGTAGCTGGCTGATAGCGTTGGGTACCTATCCATGTATCCATACGACTATGGGGTGGAATTAGGGGCGGAGCAGAATAATATGGTGGTGTGATAATTGATTCCCATTCGTCCGATCCTGAGCGATTTTGACGCCTCTCTTCTATGATTTGCAGGTAGTATTCCCGGCTTTTCTTGCGTGCATTAGTACCCAGCATTGAGAGATTTAAAGATGGGAGGGTTTCGTTCGGACGAATGAATTGCGAAATAAAGTACGATGAGGTAACTTGGGTAGTGTAAAGTATAACAAAAGTATGGGGATGTACATCTGTGGGGTATTGTACATATGTATAACTCTTTTAGGCTATCCGCATTTTCGGCAGACACCGGGGACCCAATTACCAGAACGGCGGGACGGGTCCCTCTTATTTTAATTATAGTTAACCTTAAAAGAAGACTGAATCAATTCATCAATACACCATCATACGTAACAATCAGCCGTTCTACATACAAGTAAAATTACAAACCCATATTCCTTCAAGCTACTTAATCTTAAACCGTCCTGTAATGATGTATGTATCTCGCACGCATAGATGGTAGAAGAGTGTGGAATGAAAGCTAAGTATTTCCAGAAGCTTGGCGAACAGCATCGACTGCTTTCAGGAGTTGACTCTCCTTTTCCTAGCATGTTCCCAATAAAAATTACTGCTGTCTCACATAACACAAGATGCTTTGTTCTCTACCTAACTACCTTGTAACTTATGCTGGTGCCTCTCATACACCAACGTAGCTAAAGTATATATATCATCTCGTGAATATCATTTCCTTCTCTTTTCTTTTCTTTTCTTTCCTTCTTCCCTCCTTTCATTTAATGCATAGTTAAAAAGGTTCTCGTTCACTCTCACTTGAGATGATCAGTACGGCACCGGGAGGTAACCTTGTCCCTCCTCAAGGGTGCCTACAGGCGGGTTCTGTTTGAATACATATGAGGTAAACCAAAAACATGTAGACAAACGAGATGAAAGAGTACCGTGGAACATGTAGCAGAATGTCTTCGCTTCCAAGCCGGGAAGCTTTCAGTCTTCCGCAGTTATAAGCTCTCCCGTCAGCAGCCTTTGGTCAAGCCGCTGGTAATCATCGATCAAGTGACTGTGACAACAGCGAAGGAGCCAATCAATATCAAAAATACAGGACAGGAGATATACGATCCAGTCTCTAGCATCAATCATCAGTCATGTGTCCGAAGAGCAAGATGGCCACCAATGGCTCCCCCACAAGAACCACGTCAGACCAGGCCAAAAAGGAAACAACGCCTCCAATATACCGGATCCAAGATTTCAAATCGGGGGAGCTCCAAGTCTGGCAGACCATGATGGATCTTCTAGGCTTCACTGAGATATTTACAAGCAGGAACCAGTGCCGAAAGGTATGGGATACTCCCCTATTACAAAACCTCGCATATATTATTAACTTCATCCTCTAGGCCCTCAAACACACCTGGGTGAACATAGTAGACTTCTTCGAAGCCATCAACACATCCAGCAGGCCGCGTTTCTTCGCCAACCATTATCAGCTAGGCAGGTATACGGTCCGAACCGGAAAGTTCTTCCCTAAGAAATTAATACCAAAGGGCAGTCCGCTCCGACAACTATTCACCAACATTGTCCCCAGACAGGGCCGAGATTGCGATTAAGTTCATGGTACAGGACATAGTAGGGTATTATTCCTAAAAGAAATCAGATCCGGGGGCATAATAGTACCGTATGTAGAGAACGCGTGAAAGGTACGGATTGCCTATGATTTGCCTACAGCAGAGTCCGCTATCCCCTGATCTAGCTTCGGATCTCCCATAATCTAATTTTTCCAGCATCGTTGCCAACAGCCAATAAGTCGCTCTTTCTACCAAATGCCACGTCCGAAATCCTGCCAAGGGGCGTCTGTTCCGTCGGCCAGTTCCTGTAGACCGTGCAGCTTGGCAAATGTGCCAGACGTAGCGCATCCTTCTTGTGCTTGCTGCCAAATGCCAACAGTTGGCCGTCGGGACTGAATGTAAGAACCGTGACCGGAGTCGTTAGCTGCATGAACCTTCGGGTCGGTTCGGGTCTTTCCTGGACTTCCAGCTCTTCGTCTGAAGAAGGTAATATCAAAGCCTGCCGATCATAGATGTTTGTCACGCCACTGTTAGACCCAATTGCTATCCACCGGTCCCCGCCGAGAATGATAGGACCGTCCCGGCCCCCCATTGCCATCACCGTTCCTCCGTTAGAACCTTCGTCGTTCCAAATCGCAAGGAAACGCCTCGTAGCCATACTCCATTCACCAACCTGACCTCCCCTGCCCAAAATTGTAAGACCATGACCATTACTCCACCAGGAGAAATCCGCAATGCCTCCTCTGCTGTCAAGCCTGGCGGCAGCAACCCATTGCATAGTATTAGCGTTCAATATATTGATAATACCGCCGCCTTTCCTTGTCGAAGCGACCAATGCCAAGTATTGCCCGCAGGGGCTAAGCTTAAAGCGCTCCCACGTTCTTTGCTCTAACCGATGGCCCTGAACTTTGTTGGTCTTTTGTATCGTACCGGTAGGCAAGTCCCACGAGTGGATATATCGTCGCCGTCCAGCGAAGAAGATTTTATCACCAGTGGGATACAGAAATTCGGCTCTCCGAACGGGTACTTGTTTGACTTGTACCGACGTCAAGAGGGGGTTTGGAGTTGGGTGGGCAGTTGGCGCGATGTGGTGTAGGTATAATACAGAAGATGTGCTAGAAGACAATAGAACAGGGTATTCTGGGTGGAAAGCAAGAGACGTGACTTCGTCCTTGTGTGTATCGGGTATATCTCGAGATCGTTGGATGTCAATGACCTCTGGACGTAGCTTCTTCACCTTCTGGGTGTTTTTATCTTTCAATGTACTGGCGTCCCGGAGGAACTTTTCCAGAGGTAGCGCAGACGCTTCATCATCCCCTTCATTTGCTTCGTCGTCTGATATGCTTGAGTCGCTTGCTGCCGCAGATGACCGCCGACGACGCTTCGCTGGGCGTTCCTCGGCCTCTCGCGCCCATCCGGGAAGGGGATTCAGTCGAAGATATTGTTGTCTTAGTCTCCTAGTATATTCAGTACCGCTGATAACATCCTCTGCCTCGCTGATCCGTAGTTTTCGCAATTGGGATACGTCCGCCAGTGATATAGTTAACTTCTCGTCGTCGCTATCTTCCCAAGCAGGTCTATTCTTCTCTGCTATTTCCTGGCTTTTAGGGGCCAATGGTACCACAGCAGCTTTGTCGCCGCTAGGGGCAGCAGCTCCTACGTCAAATGTGAAGAGGTCTGCATCGTCTACATCCTCTAAACCTGTCTCGAGGTCGCCCCCTTCTTTTTCAATGAGCCCACCAAAAACATTTCCTACATCGTCAACTCTTGACTCGTCCCGAAATAAGTTTTCACGAAAATTGGCCGTATCTCCAAGCACAAATCGTTCGAGCTCCTCTTCGTCAGAGTCTTTGTCAATCACTTGCGCTTGGCGGGTTTGCAGCGCAATTTCTTCGTCGCTATCGAAGTCGGATTCTTCTTCGCTAGACGATGATGCACGTCCTTCGTCATCCATTGTATCTATTTGGCGGTTTCGAGACATTGTGGTTTGCCAACTCAATTTGCTTGTCGAAGGCGGATGCGATAGAATTTCCGTCGTAGCAAAAATCCAAACTTTTTTTTTTCGAGCTCACAGTACGGATTAGCCTTGCAGATGGCCCCACTGTCTAGTGCTACCTACTACCCTGCAACTTCGGTACGTACCGATCCCCCTTTTATTCACTCTCGCGATAGTACATAGACTGTAGATATATACAACGAGGTATTCTTTATACCTCTCCTTTCCATGCTTCACCCTTCTAAATATGACTCTAGTACAAGAATTTGGTTGAATCAATCCATGTAATGCACCGTGGTTAAGAAGCGGCAGCAATTAGTTCGCCCCTTAATATCCCCAGATTCTCACTTACAGACTGATGGCTGTGAAGTGTTAAGATCGCACCTTTTTGAGCGACGTTGATGAGATTCTCGACCTTGCCTCCTTGTGATAAGCCTGCGACTAGTACACCGAGAAAAGTGTCACCAACCCCATTCACTGACACGATGTCTTCCACCTGTTCAACAGCCGGGAATAGTCTCATGTAGACACCTCCAACTTCTGGATGGTCATTGAAACTTCTTGAGAGAATAAACCTATCATACGCCGGGTCTATCAGACGAGGATCGTTCTTCTCCAGTACCGCTGTCAACAAGGCGCCGTGACTCCCAAGCTTCGTTATGATGGTAGGAATATACGGGAGAAGTTGTATAGCCTGCTGTGGAATACCAGCATCTGTCATATCAGCAGACGTAATTTTAACAAAGCGATCTCGAGCTCCTCTCATGCTGAAGGCGTCGATAGTCTCCCACCACCGCGGGTCGTCGAAATATTCATTGCGCTGCGCAGCTGCGTGCATAGCTGCCAGTTCGTATTGGTTAGGCGTAATTAAATCAACGCCAGGGTTGGGAAAGACGCCCAAACTCTCAAGACCTTTTTCTTTGCAGAACAATCTCGTAGATTTCTCCTTTGACACAGGCTCAAATATCACATGAGCCTTGTTCTGCTTGCCGGCTCGTATCCAAGCTCGAATGTCATGCTCAGCCCAGTTCCCGTCCACCACGAGCCACTTGGGCTTAGATTCTTTTACTGTGGAATTCCAGGATTCCGAAAACGAGTGAGCTGTAAAAATCCCCATGTCTGCCATACCGAGGACCAAGTTCTTGTTGGCATCGTTGACAGCTACGTACTGAGCTGTCCGACTAGCTGGATAATGCTCGCGACTAAGTTGCTTGATGCAAGACGTATCCATACCGCTTGCCCTCAGAGACGATAGCACGGTTGATCCGGCCCTGTAATTATCAGCAACTAGTGGCCCCCTATTAGCTTTTTTTCCACTCACAAGTCATCACCAACCATGCTACAAAGTCTCACTCTAGGGGCCTGTAAAGCTCTCTGGGCTGCAAGCGCTACATTATGGCCGACACCGCCAATAGATTGACCAATACGAGCCGGGTTTGACGTATGTAAGTGAGGAGCAGGGTGCTCTAACGAGTCTTCACCTACATAGTCACAGCTTAGGTCTATTGCCACAGAGCCGGCGACCAATATATCTGCTTGGGAGGTAGTCTATAATTATCAGTCCAGTTCAAGAACATTACAATGGCTTTTGCTTAGATAAAATATCAAGATTCGAAGCCAAGAGCGCAATTATTGGCTGCGACACAGGGTATGAAGGCAAAATATTCATCCTTACCTCGGGTTCTCTTTGTATTTCGTCAAACGAATGGTTCTTGCTCACAGAGGGAATAAATCCGCTTTGCTTCTTCATCCTATTGCCCCAGATGTCAGATTCAAACGCTACAACTACAAAGGATTCAAATCTCACGATTCATGAGACTGTACAGATTCACCTGCAGTGAGCTGTGAGAGCGCAACGGCTACCTTAGCAGCCCGCTCTACATTCGCTCGTACCAGTACTTTATTTGCCAACACGCTTCTCTCGCCAGTAAGCTCCCTAATCTTCCTCAAGATGAAGGGCGTATTTTCGCTGCCGAGAGCCCCCTGCTGTGTTGATTCGCTGACTGCCTGCTCAATAACCGCGTTCATCTCATCTCGAGGGATGGAAAATTCTTCAGGTATAGGATTTGCAAACAGCAGTCCCGATTCAATGCCAAGTTTCTCTTGCGCCAAGATCATGGCAGCGGCCTGTTTCTCATCCTGTACAACGGATGGGCTTTTGACACCACTATCCCTTGCCCAGAATGCCGGGAAGTCCACAGCACCACTTCGACCATCCGAGAAGGTTGACACAAGCACTCCCTGAGTTTCCAGGTACTCCAGGGTCCTAGGAATATCCAGGAATCCCTTACAGCCACTGCTAATAACCGCCATTCTCGTTCTACCGAGCTCGGTCAGGTCAGCAGAGATATCAAGCGATTCATGCCCTCCGCGGTGCACGCCGCCAAGGCCGCCGGTCCCAAAAACTTGGATCCCGGCAAGCCTTGCCAGAATCATGGTACCAGCAATGGTCGTCCCTCCGTTAATCTTATTGCCTGCGATACCCTATACACCAATACATTCAGAATTAACCGCAATATTGTATAATATTAGACCACGACAGGTCCAAGGGTTAGACACATACCATACCAACCAGATAGGCAATATCCCGTCGCGATACCTTCTTCGGCGATCCCTCGACAATACGAGTTATTTCATGGGGTAAGAGGCCAACCGTAGGCACACCTCCTAGAATACCAACCACGGCGGGTATAGCACCATTGCGTCGAACAATACCCTCCAAGTCTAAGTCATTACCCAGAGCTCCATGGGTATAGATAGTTGATTCAAGGGCCACCACGGGCTTATTCGTAGCTAGTGCATCGGTGACTTCCTCGGATACTTTAAGGAGGTCCTTCAGAGCTGATATTCGCCCTAGTTTCTTCGAGCTTGAAAATGGCCTTCGATGGGCATGAGCAAATGAAGCCCATTGATTGGTACAATTGTAAGAGCCCCTGGCTAAGAGCCATGACCGACGTAGTGAACTCATTGCGGTTGAATCTTGACTCCTAAGATCGATCTTGATATTCTTAAACTTCAGGGAGAAACGACATCTGCACTTAGATATACTTCATTTTATGTGTAATATATCCCGTCCAATACCGAATCGGATGTCGTGTGAAAGCAGAGCGCGCCCTTCGACATCAAGATACATATGGTTAGCAGGTAAGTTCAAAATGCAATGCCCCACCATGAGATATGGGTATCTCATAACTAATTATGCGCTTATCGAACAACCCAAACCATCCATTTACTTGAGCCCAAACACTAACCTGATTCGGTAGTAACCTAGTCGAGTCTTCACCTCATCCCAAAGTTACCCTTGACCATCAACCCAAAGTCTAACCCAATTTCGCAAAAGCTGGGAATGACACAGAGGTTCACGTACGGATTATACCCGATTGGGTTAGACTTTGGGCTGATGGTTTGGGATAACTTTGGGATGAGTTGCGCCCTCAAGTCCCCCGCTTTGGGATGAACTTCAGTGGTTCGAATCGCTGAAATAAGGCATAGCATTCACCAAGTCCCCTATATATAATTCCAATTCATCAAGCCTATTAAGAGGTACCTATGTACATAGAGACTTTGGGGTTATCTACCACATAGGTAACCACCTATGCAAGTTTACAAATACAATGGCCTTATTACTGCTATGTTTACATCATGAGGGCAAACAATCACATCAGTAAATTTATGTGTTATCATGTACAAAGCAATAATTACTAAGGTGTCCTTCTTCGTCTAGAACAATCGAGCTCAGCCCAAAGAGAACCCCTTCCAACTCAGGCTAACGTTTGGGTTCAACTACAGGGGTTGGTTTGGGCTCAACTTGACATCTCAATAAGCTTAATCCTGCTTAGGTAATACTATACATATGGCCCGTGCGCAATCGCAATTCAATGTGAAACTACAGGGGGTCCATCTTGAGCTTCATCGTCATTTTAAAACTTTCCACCTTCTTAGCTCCGGTGAACTCGGCAACACGGCTAGGATTGCCGGCTACGCGACAAATCTGCTATGTAGGTACTTGAGATCTAGTATATCGCAGATGACTCTGATCAAGAGATTATTTACATTGACAGAAGGGTTCAAATGTTAAAAGATGGTATGGTACTTAGTGTATAAGCTCGTTCCACTGCCCTAAACAAAAAGACGAGGCCCCGTGAAATATCCGTTTGAGGAGTCTTCTATTATTTATGCTAGTATCTTAAGGAGTTTTAGGAAATCTAGTTGCAAAGGAAGCTCCCACATCTTCCGTCTTCCGAGGACAGGGGGCTACCATCTAGATTCTCAATATGTACAGACCAAAGGTATCTATCATAAGACGCCGGGTTTCCTTTTCCCTATTTCTTAAGTATCCATCCAATAAATATAGCATCCACATGAAGAAAAATTATATAGTTCATACCCCCACCTTATAATAAGTATAATATAATTCTACGCCTTTGGTCACTTTTTTATTCTGCAATACATACCCGCATTCTTTGGAGGGATACAACTCGCTCAAATGAGGAGGAATCTACCATACCCCGTTGCCCTTCTCGCGGCAATCATCTCCAAAACCGGAGCCGTTGACTTTACTATTTCTGGTGGCCAGATATTTACACCTGGGTTTGCTGTTCTCGATGCGCCTCAGCCAGGCACTCCGTTAGGCGGAGGTATGTCTATCACATGCTATAAACCAGGTTAGGATCTAACGTATTGCGCGTAGATACTATCGAGGTAGCTCTCGATGTAACCGCCAATGGCAAATTAAATCTGCCTCCCTATAGTGATGATAGTCCCAGCCGGATTAACAACATCACCATCTTCCTATACAGCTATGACACAGGAAGGAATTTTACAATAACGAATGGAACAGCCTCGACGAATGATGTAAGCCTAGGAGACATCATGGAATCCGAGCCGGGGAGCACCGTCAAGCATGTCAAATGGCATTGGCCAGCTTGTCTCATCGGCGATGGAGAGCCGGACACCGCAGACAGCGATCGTGGAAATTACAACGTTAGTACTTGAATTCGTCAAGTTTCTATACACTTGGGTCAGATTACTCATACTCTTCCCAGATATCCATCCGCCAAAACTTCCGTCTTAACGGGGAGGATCACTACACAATCTTCGACGTACCGATCTCAGTCACCAACAAGATTGAATTCACCGGCGACAATCCACCTTGCGACCTAGTGAATAACCCTTTGCTCACACCAGAGGAAATCGACGCCGAGTCCGCTAATAGTGTCGGCATTCTGTTCGCGCCTGGAGACTCAACCGTTATTCAGTCTGACTCTACTGACAACAACCTAGAAAATGGTCTTGGGAGTAGTGCTAATACACTAAGGTGGAAGTTACCATCAGAATGGTTTTCTTTATTCCTCATTGCATATTTATGTATTTTATAGGCCGATGTATTGGCCCAGATATATTGCGATTTCCCAGCGTGTTAATACTAGAGGTTACCCCCCGGGCAACACAAAAGCCTAAGGTTTACACCGCACCATGTTTCTATACTATTTTTATTATATTAGCAATCTATCCCCTATTAAACTGCAGGGCACCCCTTGTTGGGATGATAATCCGTCCCGCACAAGAATATAGATGCGTATCTCCCTCGAAACCGCATCTATCTCGATCTTACGGTCATGCATCATTAAATACAAGAAAGTCTCTTGCTACATCGTGTCTTTTTCCTTTGCCCCCCCCCCTAATCCGTACGTACGTATAATATGGACTAGACCTTATCTACCAGCACCCCTACAATAGCCCGAATTTACTGCTATTACACGGCTGGACAATACTCTCAATATCCTCGAGATCTAAGTAATAAAAAAGCCTTAAACGGATGCATAAACTTATTCTTTTCATATTTACTGCTTTATAAGGCAGGAAAATTATCTGTAAGGTAGTAAGGCATATGTCCCAAATAGGAAATTTTTACTCGCATTCAACACAACATCCTAAGGTAAACCTTAGGCATTCTCTGCTACGCTTTAGGAGCTGGGAAAGTCGCTCGGGGGCTGAGAACCCCGACCATCTATTAGAATGATGCCTTTATTAATCCCGTATTATAAGATATCCGCGGTCATGATCTATCATCAACAGCGTAATCTTCATCAGCCGCAACGATGCTCTTGGATTATAAAAGGCGTTACCCCAGATAGTCACATGAAGTTCAGATGATATCAGTCCAACCAATCCAAACTACCTAGGTACTATATTAAAGCACAGATAGTTACAGGCTTAGACTACCTATGTAGCTAAGTATAGGCTCTTTGTTGCGGCTCTTACAAAGAATTTGTCCAGGTTATGGCATAGGCCTAGCCAGTAAGTACCTAGGTCATAGTAAAATCTACAGGCGGTTAGCTTAAGTTCTACAATCAGTTAAACGCAAGTAGCAGTAGGATGGGTTATAACAATTGTCGTAGGTATTGGGACGATAGGTTTCAACTATTTTTTATTTAAAAGGGTGGTACATCTAGGCCAAGTTCAATATAAGAATAGAAACATATTTTAATGGGAACTCCAATGGGAATATACCTGTGAATTTACTTGGGGATCAAGCTTTAAGGAAGCATTTTGAACCTTGGGCGTTTTACTTATTTTAAGGTATATAAATAATATTTTGGACCAATAGCGAGAGAAAGAGAGTAAAGTAGTTTAACGATGAATTGCTAGTCATGTGATGATGAAGATACTTCTTACTTCAAGTTAAAGTTGTCGCCGAAAAGAGTTATCTTTAGTGCCATGTTCAAGACAAAGGTGGTATAAGGAAAGGACCCATCCTCTAAAGGCCATACGGTTGATTAAGTTTTAATTAAAAGCAGAGCATATGTCTATCAAGATGAAAATTGGCATGGAGTTTAGGATGTTTCTGTAGGATTACCTGTATTGGTTGATACCCACCCTTGCAATAGAACTTGAACAGTCTTATTGTTCTATATCAGTATTGGTATTTTAAATCAGTTTATACCCAATCTATTTGTTCCCCCTGTACTGATTGATAGGTACCTATGCAATAGAACTTGAACAGCTTTAGTATTCTAAATCAATTTATACCCAATCTATCTGTTCCTTAACAAAAGCTGTCCAATATTGTTCCGGATAGATGTATATAAAGCAGGAGGTTCTTCGATCTAGGTACCTATTTATAAAAACCCATTTTTAAGCATCTAAGTATTTATTTACTTCCACAACACCATCTATTTAATTTTCGAATCCGTTAGATCTAGAATCTTTTACCGAGTTACCTGTTTAACTTAATACTAAAATTGTTGTTAATACCGATTTTAGAAGTTAGATACCATTACTATGGGAAATAATACTAAGAATACGCAAGTAACTGGCGTAAGTCAACTTGTGTTAACTGAACCCCAATCAGCGAAGGAGCGTCGGCGTGGCAGGTTATCACAGCGCTTTTCTAATAAGCCTTTTAATTCCAACTTTAAAAGTTCCCAAGCTTTAGATGAAAAGCTCGAAAAGGTATACGAAAAGCAAAATGCAAAGTCCAACTCCCAGCTTCGTAGAGAGCAACGGAAAAATAAGCGGGCTCAAAGCTCCCCCTACCCTATGGAGTCCGACGTCTATTATGACGATGTTGGAAGTGAGTCTAGGGACAAAGAAACTTATTCTAGTGAAGATGAACTTCCATATGAGAATGAAGACATCTTTGAAGGAAGCTGGTGGAGCGACGACGACCAGAATTTATTCATTTCCCCAGCCTGTCGCAACGAGAAAAAAAAAACAGCATCTAAAGCTGAAGTAAACATTCTTGCCTGCTCTGGAACGTATTTGGACATTCCCGACCAGGTGGAATGCCGCGGCACATGCCATAATACTACAAACATTCATTAGAGTAGCTAGGTACCTAAGTTAGGTAGCTGATATCGCGATGATGTTATGATAGCTTAACATAATAAAAATTGCCTAGATACCCCCAAACCCCAGTTTACACCCTTTGAATTATAGACAGTGCTATGGAATATATGAGACCCTATGATAATTGTAAATCGATCACAGCTGACGCCATCTTTGTAATACTTGAACCTGCCACATCTCATAATTTTCACGTGACACCCCATGACTGTCAAGCACCCGATACTTCCGCTTTTGAGTCTCTCGGGGGTGGATGTTACCCGGGAAGTACGGGGCTCAGTAATCGACACTACCCCCTTTTAGATTTATTGCGACTACAACAATCTTATATTCCTCAAACATCCCACCTCCTTGTAACTCATGTCAAGCCCGCCATCGACAAAGAGAACTTTCTAAAAGAGCCTAAGTACCTTCGCGCCTAAGGAGACCACGAGGTTCGGAATAGCTTCATTTATTATCTTAATTTTCACATCAAACCAGTTAACTTCATTATAGCTCATAACCATACCTCTGGACTTATTACTCAACGCTCACCTAGTACCTACCCGACCTTCCTTTAAGAATACCGATATATTATTGAAATTCGCCCTTCTTACTTTAAGGTAGATGAAAGCTCAACGGACTCACATGCCTACCTAGCTTTGGTGAGATAGGTACCGGATACATTTAGCTATGCACTCGCTCAGCGAATTCTGGCCTAGAAACCTAATGGGTCTGATGCCTATATTTAAGATCTATTTACTCATAACGCCGAATATATACTGATCATGCGCTAGAAATACAATGATACCCACGCGCAGCCCATTTCCCCACGGGGATGAGCGGAAGCCTCGCGGAGAGGCTACCTTTGCTAGGTCTTATGGCTAAACCCCTGGAGCCAATCGTTTATGACCTAGATAAACGCCTCCACACAGTTGGATGCGCCGAGAGAACATAACCCCCCGATATAAAGCTCTGAATAAGCGATTTTCGCTTATAGCTTGGACTTGTCTTTTCTACCGCTCTTAACATGTTTGGAAAACTCTCCCGTAAAGAGATAATCCGGGTACTTCATGTCAGAATCGAGACCAACACCCATACCTCCATTCCTCCAGTCGCCGCCGTCTACAACGAGTACTTCTCCAGTAACATAGCTACCAGCGTCGCTGAAAAGATAAACGGTCGCGTCCGCAATATCTCGGATTGTACCCCATCGACCTAACGGGATACCGGCCGCGGAATTCTTCGCCTCGTCACTCTTGCCCGCGAGCCTCGCCATTCCTTCTGTTCCTTCAATACCGCCGGGTGCGATAACGTTCGAGGTTACACCATACGGACCGTATTCCAAGGCTACGGAAGCCATGATAGAGTCGACGGAAGCCTTCGCAGCCATCACGTGAGCTTGCATGGGCATACCTGTGTAATGGAAAGTGGCCGAAACGTAGATGATTCTTCCACCTGTCAGCCCGTTCTCATTCGACTTATTCCTGGCGGCGGATTCGATGAGATACGGTATAGTAGCCTTAACGGTATTATACGTCCCAAGGACGTCGATTTCCATGACGGTTTTGAATCCATTGGACGAAAGGCCAGAGATGGGGCTTACGAAGTTCCCCGCGGCACCAGCGCTGAGAAGAAGTCAGTACAAAGAACCTTGTATGATCTTGAACAGACTCTTACATGACAAAGTCGATGGCACCAAGCTCTTTCACACATCTTTCGGCAGCTTTGACCAAGTTCTCGGGCTATTTTATTGTCAATATAATATACAAAGGGATTGTGTTTATGATGACAAAACTTACATTCCTTACGTCACACCCCCCAATCCCGAGAACCTTCGCACCCTTCCGTGCCGTGGCGATGTCGTTCGCGACGGCTTCCGTCTTTTGCTGATTACGGCCAATAATGCAGGCGTTCGCCCCGAGGTAGACTAGAGCCCTCGTCTGCGCGCTGCAGATGGTACCGGCGCCACCAGTTACGAATACAACGCGGCCATCTAAATAAAACGATATATATTAGCTGTCTATCTATCCAATTACATTGGCAGTCATCTGGAACTAACCGAATATACCCTCTTTCCACACATTGCTTATATACTGAGACGGTGGGACTGGCATGATGATGATGATGATGATGGTGATGATGGATGGATGGTTGGCGCTATGCAAGGTCCTCAACGTTGGGGATACGACTCCTTTAAGTAGCGTTTAAGCCCACATGTGAATATTAACGAGAGGAAGATGAATCACAACGCGGATTTGAAAAGGGAAGTGACGTCAAATTATATAATACCCCTATTCAATGAGAAACAAACTCAACTCCAAGTAGGAAGCTCGGGTAGTCATATACATGTACGTATAACAAGTCCACCTAACCTAACCTAGGGTGTAACTTGAATGAAGGGCGCGAGTTGCCTCGGCTTAGGACGTGTTGAGGAATCCGCCGTTCGAAGCGAGAGCGAACTAGACCCACTTATCGAATGTACATACATACGGAAGGAGTCACAGCGCGCATGCGGATAGATGCATATGAAGGCCTCCCTATATCTATTTTCGGCTTTAGAGTCCGCTCTCCCGCAATCCGTTAGTCCCGACTTTAAATCTGGGGAGCTCGGACCAATTACGTACCCCAGATATCCCATTTTCTATTCTATCTAATTCCTCCACCCCCGCTATTGTACAAAGTCGAGTTTAACTTTATCTCATCCCAATCAATAACGATACTCGAATTGTGAGTTGTTATTTGCTCTCGAGGCCTGAAACCCAACCAGGAGTCATGTATTAGTGTACATACGTATTGTACACGCCCAACTAGACCAGACTAGATCAGACCGGACCATAAGGCAACTCGCTCTGGCATCAGCACGCCCACCTTTGAACCGAAACCTCTTTCGTACCCATCATCTACCTTATCTCCTCCAATCCATCGGGATCGAGTCTTCACATCCCATCCTTCATCGATCTCTGGTTTTCTACATCCTAGCTAGAGACCATGGCATCAAGAAAGGTGTCAGCCCTCAAGTTCGTGGGGACTGTCTCGTTGGGTCTCTTAACGGTAAGTAACTTATCTTTTTTTCAACCCCATTCCATTGTTCGCATTTGCCCCTCCAGATTCCCCCGCGCCCGCCGCCCGCCATGAGCGCCTCACGCAGCAACGTTATCTCGGCAACCTGCAAACCTCATCTCATAAACATCAAGAACTCCCAATATGAGCTAGCTCTAACAAATATATGATATAGGGCACTTCGTACACCCTCTCATCCATCACCGTCCCATCCCTTCTTGAGCTCCCCTCTGCGTCATCCGCAGCCAAGGCCTTCCGCAACCTCACATCAACCGCATCAACACAGCTCACTTCCCTAGCCAGCCTATCCGGCTCTGCCTTCCTGCTTGCCTTCATCATATCCCCCCGTGGCTTCAAACACCCGTACCTGCTCTACACGTCGCTATTCTGCTTCAGTACCCGCCTGTCCGACTACGTGACGCCGTCCATCTTCGGCGCTCCCGTCACCAGCTCCTCCGCTGCCGCGCAGCGCCGCGCTGAGGCCCAGGCCCGCAAGGATAAGAAGGCCGCTCGCCGCATGGAGGCTTCCTACGAAGATCTTGGTGGCTCGCACAGTGATGAGGCCAGCAGCGAGGAGCACGAGGAGGACTCCAACGGCGAGGAGGTCCGCAGCGAGGTCCAGTTCTTCGTTCGGAACCAGTTGATACAGACGGCCCTCGCGGGCGTCGGCTTCGCGATGGCGGTCGTTGGTATCTGGGGAGATGGTGCTCTAGGTGTTTCCGAGACGCTTGTTATCGAGTTCTAAGATAGGAGAACTTCACGGAGTTTCAAATGAGAAAATCAATGTAGGGATAGGGGTGGTCTGATTCTCATCATTCATTCAAGTCTTGATGAAAATATAAACCAACTAGAAACCTAGGGTTGGGTGGAATACTGCCGGAAACACATATACAAGATATCCTCAAGGCTTTTATCAGTAGGGTTGTTCGGACTGGCTGTTGTATATTTCACGCTCCCACCTCCCTCTGAGATGTCTGCATGCATGCACACGTAGTAACAAAAGAAAGATTTAAAAAAAAATATAACATAGTATGGGCGTTTATTTCAGTTTTAACACGGTAGTAAACGAGAACCTGTTATATTATTGTATATTCCTGCGGAACTTGTGGTAAATACTTATCGACATTCTAGCTATCTGTAAAATGGCAACTCGATTCCGTTGGGTGAGTGGATTGTTATTTTAATTGTAGTTTGGCATAGCAAAGCTGTTGAAGGAGACATAGCCCCGAATATCTTCTGAGCTGCGATTTACATTAAGCTATAGACAGATACGAATCTTACCCGTGAGACTTAGACATTGATCGACGTAATTGAATTTCACAATGCAAATATACCTAACTTCATTATCACCCACGCTGGAGATTCTCCCCATTTCGCTTTATGAAATAACACCCGATATCCTACTAAGCCCACGGTTCAGTATAAGTGGTTTCTTGATACTCAAGTCTGTTTCATCACTGATGCGAGCAAACGATATGCCTTGACCTCGGTCTTGATGGCAAATATCGCTCACCGAGATCACTCACCGAAAGCGTGAATAAACCGGCTATTCACTGCAAAGTCAAAAAAGGCATCGGAAGCATATCTAGCTTATATATGATTAGCGTTTATGAACTATATAGCTACGTAACCTAGTAATTGTTGCTTGTAATGAGCGGATATCGGTGGTATATTATACCCCCTTTTATGGTATGCGGAAACACATCGACTGTGCTTCATTCATGAGTAACTCATGAGTTTGTATCATATTGCATTGCCTACCTACTGAACTACGGTGTTCTAACTGTCATGTTTGCCTCTATGAAGCAAACACTAGGATAGTCGAGTTAGTAGTCTATGTGTTTTGTGCTGAACAGAGGTTGCAAATCATGTAGTAACGCGACAACGAAGACGATTTCTGTGAGAAAAACAAAAAGCAACGCGACTAAAGCTCGGCAAAGTAGACGAAGCAAGGTCAGCTATAGCTTCTCAGCCTCGAATGCTGATATTGGGGCTACGTAATGTGATGATGCTTGCCAACCTTCGTGATGATGTCTCTCATGAAATGCAACGCAACAGGGTATCAAGCAACCTTTGCAGAACGCCTTACTGTTCCATCCTGACCAAAAATCAAATATGCTTCGCAAACCGATTAAGACCCGCCTTCTGTGCTGTGTGACATGCAACAGGGTCATTCGTTCGTATTTCCTCTGACGCGGGAATTCTCAGTCTTCCCAGATCGTCTCTAAGTCAAGATCACCACGTCGTTCGGCTCCGCAGACACTCCAGCGCTTGCGCTTATCTCTTGATCCAAGACCCATAGTTCTTCCACGCGCGGGCGCGTCCCGGCCCTTTGCCTCTCCAGACTCTCCCTCTTCGGCGGCGTCCGCGGCAGCCTTTAACTGAGATATTCTTTCGGCCTCCAAGGCAGCCTCTTCAGCATCAGGAGAATCAGGAATAGTTTCCAGACTTGAAATACTGGGACTGCGAGATCTCATAGAGGTTGGTGTCGAGGGGACTGACGATGATGGATAGTAAGAAGGGAAAGTGTAACCATACGACAAGCTCTCAGGTCGGAATGAAGGCGAACCTGCTGTAGCCGAGGGGGTTCCGGGAAGAGAAGGGGTGCTTGATGAATAACTCGTAAGGCGTAGGGGCGAAGATGTTCGTCGATGAGCTAGATTGCCCAAATTCGGGGTACTAGAACTAGGGGAACCGCCCAGGTCGGTGAGATGTCTCTCGCCGTCCAAGACAGAAGATCGAACTGGAGAAGTTGGATATGCTTCATCGACCGGCTTTCGAGGCATTCGATTTCTGTTGGGGGAACTCAAGGGGCTGGCTGGACGAAGTAACGGCGGGTAAATGATACGACCCGAACCATCAACACCTGGCATAGATCGTGTACGACCGATGGTAGGTGGTGCGAGACTGGCCATTGACTTGGATCGGCCGTGAGTGCCAGTCAAAGGGGACGTAGTTCGAGGTCGATACGGAAGAGAGGCTGCTGTTGTCCAAGATGGCGAGCTTGGAGACGGAGGCTCGGTTGATCTGCGAAAGTTGTAAGGCTTGCGACCAGGATCTGAATCATTCGTAATGATGGCAGCTGGCTGCAGACGCAGAGTAGGTAAAGGAGAGGAGCGGAATTCCTCCATTCTCTCTGTCTCAGGGACGGGCTCCATTTCCAACGAGGACAAAAGCCTAAGCGGTCTATCTTCACTTCGTTTTCATATGAAGCGGTGTGGCCAAGACAGTGGCCAAGGGGTGGCTTGTCGAGATGGATGGCCGACCGTTGAAGGTCAATAGGAAAAGAAGATCGGTAGTCCGTCCGATGTGCGACTCTGGAATGTAGGTCTCAGGTGAGAGTAGACCGGACAATCAAGAATTGCTTTGTGAAGGGAGGCGAGCTGGGTTGATATTGCGACCGCCAGTTCGAAGTTGTTGTGGAACGATGGCAGGGTAGGTGCCTAGAGACGAGGAGTGAAATTGAATCTTATGCGGGTCATATGTCGTACCGAGTCAGTTTCGAAGTGTCCGAGCTCCCGCGTTGACCTGACGACTTGTTGGGGTTGATTATGCGTAAGAGGTGCATAGGCGAGGAGAGATAGAGAGAAGTAGAGGTGAGAGAAGAATGGGAGTGTCACTGTGCGCGTTTACAAGTGTTGTATGCGTGTTATAACTAACTATTGTGATATTGTGATTGTGGTCCTTATTTGGCCGGATTGCTAATGGCGGTGGGCGAGTCCATCAGGAGTGGTATGGGCACGAAACATGACATTTGAATCGAGCCGTGACGGATAAGTCCGATGCCAGATGCCAGGAACGGTTACGAGACTTGCGAGACTGCGAGACTGCGAGACTGCGGAGAGAGGAGTTGGTGGAATTAATACGCGAGACGCTCCCCAGGTTCCGGAGACGGGTTAGTCAACTGAAATAAGACAGGGACCTCCCGGGGTGCTTGGTCTCCTTTGGCGCTTCTCTGGCTTCTGGATGGTGACCCTAGAATTCGTCTTGCCTTTCTCGGAGTTCGAAAGAGGGGACCGAAGATGGAGCGGATGGGGGTGTATGAAGATGTTTAAGGCTAGGTAAAATGCTAGGTAAATGGGCTAGGTGGATGTAGGTAGGCACATACGGAGAAGATCACCTGCATTTATTATGTATTGTATTGTATCATTTAGTAGCGACGGCGGGTTTTTAGTTGCTAGCAGCCACTAAATAGAGGGCGTCTGGGTGTTTACGGAGAAGGTATACCGTAAATGGAACGGCCTAGCCTGCCTGCCCTGCCTGCCCTGCCTGCCTCAGTCCCTGCCCTGAGTCAAAACGACTTGATGTTCCACCACTGATTGGCCCTTGATTCAGCCCCACAAGCTAACCCTATCCTGGAACTGCCTCATATGCCTTGGCACATATATTCTTTTAGGTGCATATGTCGACAACGTGCACTACATTACGAAAATGGCACGTGCAATTGATGGGCTTTTGCGCTTGGCGAAGCTGTGCGACCCTATCGTTTGAGATCCACCTGAATATAGACATGTACCTACATAATGCCTCAAGGTACATATCTGACCTATACGGTACCTATACTTATACCTTACAGGTTTGGACCTTACTTGCGGTTAATACCTAACTCTGCGATGGCGAGATGATAAGTTCTATGCAATAAGCTCTATGCACGCAGAAAAACTCATTGATTGCGATTAGCCTATTAGCTGGTGTGTTGTTCTATACTTAGCTACCTATTGTAATAGGATTACCTAATAGTAGCCTATTGTTGGCAAGTGGCTCCGGAAGGAAAAGACCCCTATACCTTAGTAAGATATGTATACTTAGGTAGGAGGTAGTTACCGACAACTTACAAGTATGTTACAAAGACAATAACTACCACATCTGTATAACCGCCATATGTATTGGGTCAACGTTAGGTAATTATTACATACCTGATCAGATGTCTTCTATATATAAATCAGACAAATATGTTAATCATGTAGTGAGGTAGTATCTCGACACCTCCTGCGCTTCCGGTTGAATAAGATTGGACCAGCGAGTTGAATACCCTATCTCTTGCTATCAAGTCTGACACCTGCAGACTTGCTACTACCTATGTATATAGTATGTGGAACAATTGATGGCTGCAATGGCTGCAATGGCTGAAAAGAACGAAGTGGGTCTATGCAGTACGCTAGAGCTAGGTACCCGCCTTGCTACAACGTTCGTTAATATTGGTTACGGTAAGGTTTACAAGGAGGTACTCTTCCTGTCGAATTAGGCGCTTTAGGTACTTTGATGCTTAGCAACCATATTGTATTGTAACTCGAAATCCATTTCGGTTTTAGTGTTATCTGGCAATTCGACATGGGAAATTTAACAACAATTTTCTACGACAGCCTCATAACATCATCAACAACTTGACGAACCGACGCCCGCATCGCCGTCCCATACTGGCGTTGCTAATTCCGGGACGAATTACTGCGATCTCTATTCTACCTATTGCGAATCTTTATCCCGATAGCAGTACCGTTTATATGCCCTCGATGGCCCGTGCCAATTAGTGATTTCATTCATTCTGTTCATCAACACTCCTTTTCGCTTTACGCCCTGTCCTCGGGCATTCTGCACATCCTGATTGATCTGAGAGATCATATCAATTCACCATGGCGCGCCCTCTGGGGCCAGTCCGCCTGCGGAGGACAAACTACCTCACCTTGTCTATCGGCGCGATCCTCTGTGTTTTCATAATTTACTTCCTCTCCCATACCGGTTCGACTTCACAATCCGCCAATGCGAGCCGATCCGCTACCCGTAAGCCCAGTACGAAGTCGAGTCTCATCTCCGAACGGCCTCCTGTCCGGCGCTTCAACTTAAATAGTGTTACAATTACCCCGGATCCGATTGGAAACCGAGAAGCTGTCCTTATTTTAACTCCAATGGCGCGTTTCTACCAGGAATACTGGGACAATCTGTTGAAATTACAATACCCTCGAGATCTGGTTACACTTGCTTTCATATTACCTAAGAATAAGGAGGGTAATGCGGCGACTACCGCGCTGCAGGCCCAGATCACGAAAACACAAAAAGGTCCCGTTAAGGACCGATTTAGGAGTGTAATTATTGAACGACAGGATTTCGATCCTCCTCTAACATCTCAAGATGAAAGCGAACGACATAAGATGGAGAATCAGAAGGCGAGACGAGCCTCGATGTCTAGGGCACGGAATTCGCTGCTTTTCACAACACTGGGGGCCGATACCTCATGGGTTTTATGGTTAGATTCCGATATCATCGAGACACCACCTACTTTAATACAAGACCTTGCGTCACACGATAAGCCCATCATAGTGCCGAATTGCTTCCAGAGATATATTGATTCGGAAACGGGAAAGCCCAAGGAACGCCCGTACGACTTTAATAGCTGGCAGGATAGTCCGACCGCGCAGGAACTCGCCTCTAAGATGAACCAAGATGAGATCATCCTCGAAGGATACTCTGAAATGGCAACCTACCGAGCCTTGATGGCCTATATGGCGGAGAGGGAGGATGAAAAACACCTGGAAGTACCCTTAGATGGTGTTGGTGGTACCGCATTGCTAGTTAAGGCGGATGTTCACCGTGACGGTGCGATGTTCCCGCCATTCCCATTCTACCATCTGATCGAGACCGAAGGGTTTGCGAAGATGGCGAGGAGGTTAGGCTGGCATGCTACTGGATTACCTAACTATAAAGTAATATCCTTGCCTCGATGGTATCTCGAAATTATAGCTGGCTAACTCTGGATATAGGTTTATCATTACAACGAATAGAAGACGGAACTAAACATACGGCTCGAAACGCTTTTTGTCATAACGAACCTTGTAATCTGCCACGAGTCTCGGATCATTGCATTTTGGAGATGAGGAGTTTAAACGTGCCGAATTGTTTGTTTTGCGACGACGGAGCATGGGTTTATCGAAATACGTCGCGGCCCGTCATCGCTGTGGTCGAGGGATGAGGGGGTTTTTCCTGTAGATATTTATTTGTAGTAGCAGTAACAGGAGCAGTAGCAGCATCATAGGACGGGGAAATCATTGCGCTTTTTTAAAAAACTGTTTCACTAGGCAAAGGCCCATCGGGATTGCACCAATACAAGGGGGGGGACCGGACTCTCGTTCTAGGCGCCTTGAAAATTTGAAGAAATCATACGATGGTTTCTTTTTCATATTCCGTCGAGTTGAAATACCAGTGAATGATATGCTATAATCAAATCAAAATGAAGTAGTAGTTTGATACCGGGTCCATGTATGTTATATCATATGTAAGGAGAGACCCAGGATCCCATATATGCCATCAAACGCCCGCTCGAAAGAAAAACTATTCCTCAATAACCTCCTTCCAGGTAAGTATTCGTAAAGACCGCCTCCACCAGCTGACCTCATCCAAACCACCGTCGAACTCGACCATCCATCGCCCCGATTTGTCGTAACCCTACGTATGCTTCACAATAACTCATTCTACCTCTACCTCCCCTCATACCGCCCTCCCTCATCGCTGCACCAAAACTCCACCAGGCGCTTGGCGCCCATCGCATCGCCGCCGCGTATCAAAGCCGCAACGTCGACGTTCAGAGGGCTGTCGGTCTCGGGACAGCTGAGCAGCATGCGCACGGCGCGCACGCACTCCAGGATGCCGTACGCCGGCGTCCATTTGTCCTTCAGCAGGTCCAGACAGATGTCGCCGCCGCGCAGCGCGATGTTGGCGTGCACAATGGGCGTCCGGAAGGAGATCTTGGGCGGCGCGAGAGGGTACGTGGGGGGGATCGATATGTCGAGGAGCCAGCGGCCCGCTGGGGTGATGTATGTTAGTTGTGTTTTTTATTTTTTTATTTTTTTTTGTTGTATATGAAGATAGATAGGTAGGTATTGGGTAAAAGTATAGGGGTCGAAGGTATGAAAGGAGAAAGAGAGAGAGAGTATGGCGTCGCAACGTACCGTCGTAACCACTACCTACACCCCGTCCATTGATCACGGCCTCCCAGTGCAGCAGCTCCTCGTCGCTCACGGGCCCCAGGCGCTCGATGCCCTCCTCGGTCTGCGACTCGGCCTCCCAGGCAGATAATTCTTTTACCAAGCGCTTAGCCGCGCTGCGCGAAACCGACGCTGAATTAGTCGCCATTCCGTTTTCTGCGTTGCGAACGATGCGATGCGATCTTTGGTTCTATTAAAAAGCGATAATATATAATTCGAGAGCGATAAATAAGATAGTTAGCCTCCAAAAAAGAAGGTTTTTAGAAATGTCTGTTCTGTCCCCAAAGGTGGTTTCGTCTTACACGGAAAAGGTGGTAGGTAGGTAGTTGGCAAGCCAAAGCAAAGGCAAGGTAATAACAGGTACCTAATGTAAAGCTCCGATGGTTTGCTTGTCTCGGCAGGCGGTCGGCGGTGGTTAGGTACCTAACCCAAAGGCGCGCCGTGCCTCGCTAGACAGGGATCTGCTTCTATGTATGTAAGTCTGATTGGATGCCCCGGTCCAGGCCGAGGAGTAGCCTCGGTGGACGCATGGAACCCGTGGAAACGGTGTTACACGGGAGGTAACGTGGATTGTTGCAATTAAACAAGTTTCAAGGTAACAATATTATTAATGTGTTATGTATTGCATCCCGTTGGGAATCACATCAACAAATAATAGGTACCACGCTCACCGGCATGAACCCTCTTGGCTTTTGTCGTGGGATACTGTGATTAGCTTTTTTGGAATCTTTAACTGGTAGTACGGATCCGTACTTGTAACTAATCTTGTTCCTACATGGTATTGTTTACATAGTATATTCTTGATGTTTATACATACATGCTCTTATGCCTCCCAATTAGATTGATTTCCGTATGCATAATGATTATACTATTTTACAAAGTACATACCTATATATAATATAGTCTCATGAATAAAAGGCTTAATATATCTTCATAATGCTGGTATTTGACAAATGTTTGATTCTTCATCTAACTACTAAAAAAGTATATAATAGTCACTACAAGGAAAATGTCCGAAGCGGAACGTCATTGCATATCACTTCAGCAATACGATCGTGGCTCTGGCATCGAACCTGTGCTTAGTAGTGTATGTTCACTATTATTGTGTGTATGTGTACAAACCCGGGGTGCTCGACGAGTCCACAGTGAGCAACTACTTACAGGTCATGTAGCAACAGACTTATGAAGTTTTTATGGAACATGGTCCCGAGATATTCCTCCCCACCCCCATTCATATCCGCGAGCGCTATGTCCAGAGAAATCGGAGCCCCCAAATCCCCCGGCGGCACTCTTTTTTTTCTGCAAGCCTAACCGGCTACTTGGTTTCCTCCCCCTCCTGAAGCAATGAAAATAGACTAGGTGAATGTCTTAAAAAACGGAGCCGTGGTCATGAAATGGCTTAAAGGTGCCGTCATGCGTTCATAAAATAAAATAAAAGAAAAATAAACGATTGCGAGACTAATCCCTGATATTTCAGGTCTTCTCGTATGCGTACAAAACAATGCATGCTTTGCAAATAAGGTCGTGAATAAGATTGTCTCAAGTACCATCGACGATCCTCTCCGTGAAAAACTCTGTTTCGTGCAGGTAATGAGAAATGCGTGAGAATACATAAACTTCATCGGATCCGTCAGCGGTAAACTGCCGCGGAAACCAATATGATGGTCGTCCCCCATCTACCCGAAAGCATTGAGCCTGAGTATGAACGCCTGTGGCAGAAGCATTGAAGATATCTCTAAGGCTTAGCCGATCCCTTCGGCTTCCAGAATTGCATTATGCGACTAAGACGTTTTGATTTGTTCTTGGGCTTGCCTTCCGGATCCGAGTCAAGAGGGACCTCCATGCTCAGCTTGCTCCGTTCTCCGTGGGCGCTACTAATGAGCCGGCTGAGACTGACCAAACTGGATCTTCGGCGGCCGAATGCTGCGGCGCTAAACGAAGCAGGCCGTTGATCATGGAAGGGCATATTCCTAGGCTGAACGCCCGGCGTGAAAGTGCTATCCCGTGTCATAGTCGAATTACTACTCGTTAGAGACGGAACATCAACAGATATTCGGACCAACTCTGGTCCAGGTTCGCCCATCAATAGTGAGTGGTAGGTGTTCTCATCAGCGATCGAAGATGGGGCAGTTGAGATTCGTTGAGCGTCATAAGACATTGGCGAACGAGGGGATGGAAAAGAGGATGAATAGCTCAGCGAATATGGGGTAGCTGGCATAGTCGAAGAAGCAGGGAACGCTCCATTGCTTACATCCATCGGATCGATATCTGTGTTTAGAATCTGGCGGGGAGATGGGGCTTCTGAATCAGGGGTGCCCGGGGCGCCCATGAAATGGGTGGCACGTCTAGGCGTACTGTAGTTGGGTTCTTCTAGAATAATTTCTTCGCAAAGGTTTTCGGTCCTCATCCTAGATACTGGTCGTTGTATGTCCAAGCTTGACCCGCTGCCTTTACGTGCCACCAAGGTAGGCGTTGGTACGACATCCTTTGGACTAGCTTTACCATGATCACGTTCTTGCGTAGGCGTCGAAACTGCGTCGTCCTCAGTACTTGACGTCGACTCACTTTCATCAGCTGAAGCATCTTGGGCGTCCGTGGAAGATTCTTCAGATGGGGTTCTTGCGCTCGTATCCTCCCCTTCTTCCTCTTCGTCTTCTTCAAACACATCGGCCATAGTCGAAGAACTGCCGAAGCGGTGAATGCCAAATCGTACGGCTTCGAAGGGAGGCATCTCAGGAGCACTCTCAGCACGGCGGTGATAATGCATCCCTGGTCCGCTGAAACCCCTTAAGCCAGCAGCACTGTGCAGCTGGCGCTTTGGTGGGGCGCCGGTCTTTTGCGCCTCATCCCATTGGGGATCACGAGAGGAAGGTGTATTAAACGGGCCAAGAGCCGCGTCAAGATCGATCATAGGATAAGATATATCATCTTCAGATGTTCGACCCAGCTCTGCTGTATTTGGATCGGGCTCGGGCTCAGTCACCAAGACCACCGGTGCAATAGGTGCTTCGGGTACTTCCATAAGATAATCACCGAAATCTTCGATAACCGGTTCTTGATATACTGGTGGCGTGGCCGAACGACGGCGCACTGACTTTGATTTACGAGTTTTCGATTTCCTTGTTAAAATAGAGCCAGCCCACGACCTAACCCTTTTCTGCTTCTTCTTTCTTATCGAACCCTTCCTACTTTCTGGACGAGACAATTCGTCTCCGGTTGACACCCATTCGGATTCCGGTGATAGATTAGCGGGCTCAGGTCGCTTCTCCACTGCTTTAGATAAACCTAAGCTAAGTGATGTCGATTTCGTGGGTGAATTAGTTGCCGCGAAAGGTTCGAGTCCGAAAAAAGACCATCTCCTAGGGGTTTTTGAAGGGCTCGTATTTGTAGGCGACCCTGAGCTACGTTTGGGGATTTCCGTTAGCAAGGGAATCGAATTGCGCCTACGTGATAAAGAATCTCCAGTGAGTACGATAAGACTCGGGGAACGCTCTAAAACAGCGCCTGCGGTGCTAGGGCGCGAATCATTCTTCGCACGAGAACCAGGTGACCCGAGCACACTAGAAGTATCACGGTCCGTAGATGCTAAATTCGTCGAAACGATGGATGACATGCTCCCTGAAACTCGGTGGCCAGGACGAACTGTCACCGTGCTTGATGTGTCGGTTGAAACCAACGACAGAGGGCGGGGAATGAATTCAAGCGTATCGGAGAACCCAACTCGCGCGCGTGCGGCGGCCCTTGGCGATGGAGGGGACTCCTGCGTAGGCTGAACAAATACTTCCTGAATTTCTTCCGCGCTTGCCTGTTGGGAAACAATCTCGGGTTTGGGAGGTTCGGTCTTTGGCTCGGGAAAATTGCGAAACTTCTCGTCAGAATCAGCCGGGCTAGCGGGCGCACTACTGCCCCTCGAAACCGGGTTATTTGGCTTAAGTATCATAGTCAGATCGTGACTAGAGATGGCGGCGGAACGACGGTGTGCATGTCCTCTTCTTGGCGGAACATCTGCGGGCGAGAGCTTGGGGGACGTATTGCCAACATCAGATCTAGTTGGGCTCGTACTCATTACAGTAATAGACCCTCCTCCTTTGAGTTTACCGCCTACGAACTCACTCCCACCTCGTCGATGGCCACCACGGTTGGGGTGCATCATAGGCGACGGAGGAGAAATTGGAGGACTGAGGAGAGACTCATCGGGCCCGAGAGTCGCACCTGGATTGAATGCGAAATCCGGTAGAGCTGGAGATCTGGATCGCTGACTGCTGGGATTCGGACTAGGATCGGCGCCCGGGTTGAAACTAAAGTCGGGCAAACCCGGCGATCTGGAGGGAGAATCTCCCATTCCGCCAGCAAAGCCAAATTCTATCGCAGACTGAGGTCGTCGTCCCGTTGCCCGAGAGAAAGATGAAGGCGCCGAAAATGGTGACGAGCGAGCTGGAAAAACGAAGGGCGGGTTCGGCGGAGGTAGGTTCATGAACGAAGAAGGTTGGGGACCGGGAACGGCTGATTGGGTCATGGTCTCATCTTGATGTGTCGAGATACGGAGTTGTCGCGATGGGACATCGTTCACCCCGCTCAATGTAGCCGTCTCGGTCGGGAGACTAGCAGCAATTACGGTGGCCATTATTCCTTCAAGCCTCCCCGGCGCAGAGAGCGGGGAAAAAACTTAGATATAGAGAGATATCATAGAGTATCTTTCGAGTATAGTGTAAGAGTGAGGGCGTAGAAATCGAAAAGGCTAATTGGACATGACAATTTGACGGTGCGCGACGGTGGTGCTTGAGGCGCCTGAGATAAGGAAAGGTCAGTTTCCCGCTCAATTGTGAAAAGCCCAGATGACTACCCAGGTAGCTTTCTGGACGCTTAGTACAAAGTTATGAAGTCGTACCTCGTCGTCGGGTGAGGCGGAATGTTTTGCTGGCGGTCGGTGAGCGTAATTGTCGTCCGGCTTCCCTCGTAATGGATTGGTTACAAAAACAACCAAAATAAAGATAGACGTAGGATAATGGAATTGAAGAGGGGATTGGTTAAAGGAGCGGACGGCCAAGACCAGAGCAAATCTTAGAAACACAAGATCTGCTTCTGGAATTGAACCAGCAGGTGTGGTGGTGGTGGTGGTTGAGGTAAGGTGGGAGGAGTGAATGAAGGATTGAGGAGATAATCGTAGGTGTGTAGACGACTCCAGAAAGATGGAAGTGTGCAAGTCGAAAAAAGTCCACTGTTAGGCTATTGGGTTGTGTCCCTTCTGGACCGTGCGGCCGCCCTACTAACTTAAACGCTTGTACTGTATGTATCTACCAGGTAATAAGAGGTACCCTAATAAGGATCTCAAGCTTGCAAGGACTAGGGTAGAAGGAACTTACCTAGGTAGCACCCAGGTAGGTACAAATTAGCAAGTACCAGAATGGCTGTTACCTGCTGCCGACAATAGGCAGGTACCGTACCTAATAACATTTAATCAACAATTAAAAATGCGCTCGAAATGATGCTAATCCAGAGGAATGATTATTATTTCATGCTTGATCACCTATGCCATGGTTATATTTTATTGTGGCGTAAGTTAAGCAGTTTTAATTCATTATACAACCAATGCTAACTAATTCAATCTTGCATTGGGGTGAATATTTCAAGATTGTCAACATTGGAATCAAGAACTCATTTCAAGCCAATTTCAAGTCACCCTAGGTCCTGAATCAAAATGGTTACTATCGAAACTACGAAGATATTCACCAAAGTACAGCGCTAGTCAGAAATGCACGGAGTGTACATGATCTGCAGTCACACCGAGGGGATACCTCTCCGTGAGGGTCCCTGCAGGAGGCTGCGCCTACGTGGACTACGTAGGTACGTATCACTACCGTTGTCAGATAAACCTCGTAATAGGGTGGATGCTCCGTTCATAAGTAAAACTTGTACCTGAATGTTAGCGTTGAATGCCGTCTTTGAGTGGCCCATGACTTCATGATCGCGACTTACTCAGGCTACTCCACCGTTTGAGGGTTCGATTGAGGCTCGTGCGAGGTATGACGGAGATACAAACCTTGGAAAATTACAAGTCAAAAAAGTACAAAATAAAAATTAAAAAATTGTGTAGGTAGACTGGTAGAGTAGAGATAGTGTACATATATAGATTGTAAGTCCCATCAAAACAGTACAGTATGCGCCGCCGCCAACAAGTGTTCCCACATTGAGAACGACACAAGTGCATGCCGAATTATTGCGATGCGCAGTTCATAGAATGGAGCGCTGGCCTCCCTGACGGCCCAGCAGAACATCGCGAATAACGAAAGTGGCTTAATTATTCTCCGTAACCTTTAATACAATTAGACATGCAGAAACAAGCCATCCCTGATAAAAGGGTGCGCTCGAAAACCCAAATACTTTTTGAAAGTTGAAACCCCCTAAAAATCTTCAACAGAATGCAGCCGAAAGCTGGAAGTTGACAGGTTGGCAGGTTGGCAAGCAAGCAAGCAAGCCGACAGACAAGCCAGCAAGCAGGCAGAGAGGCAACTTGAACCCGGTCATCTTGTTTGGAAACCTTGCATCTAGGTAATTATGCATCTACGTGTACAGTACATAACGCAAACCCGCGTACAGGCGTAATTGAGAAAACCGCTTTCCTATTTTGGATGGCTTGCCTTTAGTCCTCGGCGTTCCCCTGCAGCACCCTATCCCTTCTTGGTTAACGACCCCCCGCGCTTCCTACCTTCGGTTGCTTCGTTGCATTTGCGGCTGGAGGGGCTTTCAGAATTAGGTTAATCAATCCTACGCGAAAGGATCAGGTCCAGTACAATTCATCATTGCTGTCCCGTGTTCCGTGCATACATATAAATACGGCGGTGTTGCTCACAGGAAGGCATTGCATATACGGGTTGATGAGTATTTGTTTATCTTCATATTAGGTAAGGTAGCACCAAATCTGGTTGCATTTCTAGACTTCATCTTACCAAGCCAAGCACAAAACGAGCGCAACAAGAACTAGAACAGATAATCAAAATGAGCCAAGCCAACAAGACTTTTACCTATCCCACGCAAAGTTGGCCGCTTTTTAGCGTAAAGTAGGCAGCCGGGCTAGCCGTGGCCGCGATTCGCATACCACCTTCAGCACTCACATAGGTAGTGTATGGACCTATATACATGTGTGCGTATGTACACCTTACAACATACAACATTACACACTGCAAGCCCGTAAGCAGCCGTCGCATTAGCCTCCACGGTTCGTAGCCAACCAAGGCTGTGGAATTCGACGCGCTCGGATAACTTTGCATGAGTCTGTGGGTATTTCGCCGGATAAAGAATAGTTGATCTTACTGCCAGCTTGCATCTCATTGTTTATCTCATTGCGATGGTTCTTTAGTAGGTAAAGTGGTTAATCGCTTCGTAGCAGACACGCTAAAGATTGCTAAAAACCAAGACCCGTCACTAGTAAGGTATAGAATCAAGCTGAATAACGGGTTGGAAGCAATGATCGGCCACCAATGATCCTTCATCTCCGATTCAAAATCGTATCCAAGAATATCGCAACTAATTCAAACAATCTCACGCCTAATCCCTCTAACGGCAAAACTCAGGAAATAAATGACAAAACTTTTAGCATGATTGGCGGCTATGGCCCAAGCCTCACTCCTAACGAATTTCTGAATACGGACACGGAGAACGGGATAGCGATGGGCAAACCGGGATATGCCCTTGCCTGATGGGGGTCAAGTGATAACTTGATGAGAGGCTTGACAAGCCAGCTGGCCAGGCACTCCAAATACTCCAGTCTCCGGATGGATTTCGGTACTGAATCCTCTGTGGAGAGACCCCTGTCGTATGATATCGAATCCTTGGGGGTCAAGCTGGAGCTATACCAGAATCGTCTTATTAGGATGATATTATCCGAACTTCTCTATGCACATAAATAGCAACAGGCAACGTTGAAACGGGTGGTATTATTGCATCTAAGATCTCGTCCAGGTACAAAAAATATTAAATACACAAATGCGCTATCAGGCAAGGCTTACCTCGATCTCTCAATACACTAGACAACGGCAAACAATTGGATCTTACCTATAATAAGACTTAAGTACCTCATGTACGTAGCACACAAGCTAGAACATCACGGAATGAAAGACAAGAAAATTACCCGACTCGAGAAGGCGTGGAAGCTAATCTCGTTTCACTAATGTAGGTACATTAGCCAACCAGACTTTGAGTTCAGCTAGGACAACAGACTAATCTGCACGGCACATATCGTGCATCTGATTGGACCCAGAGCCCTGGAACGATGTCGGTCGGGGCTTCACCTTTCGCCGCTGGAAGATAATTGATCCAGCACCGTACATTCTTGTTTTCTGGCCAATCTCATCTCTCCAGATTTCTTAGGAGATCCACTCTACCTATGGGACCCCAGTTATCTCGACTTTTTTCAATCGCAAGCATGATTTGATTGATATGCCTCTTGGCGATAAGATCCATACATTGCGCGCAGCTTAGTGAAAACGCTTTCAGAGGCAACCGATATTACACTTGTAGAAGCAAGTGGTAGTTATCTTCTAGCACTCGCAATTGCTCTACTGAGACTCTTGCGCCGTTATGTCGACTAGCATTACTGAACCCGAACAGAAGCAAGAGCCTCAGGGCTTGCGCAAGAACGGTGAGGACCGCAACAGTATTCATGGTTGTTATAAAGCTTATAAGTAATTTGTAGGCAAACAATGGCATCCGCCGCGAAAAGCATTCCGCCCTGGCTCCGGCTTGACTTCGTATGAGCAACGGACGAAATTACGCACGGCGGCGGCTGCGACGAAGGCAAGGGAAAAGGAGATGAAAGAAGAAAAGGAGGCAGAAAGAAAGGTAAAACCGACACTATCTGTATGAAGATGAGACCAGTGGGGGCATGGCTGACACTAGGACTAGCAACGGGTTCAAGCTATCAAGGAGAAACGCGCAGCGAAAGAGGAGAAAGAGAGATATGAAAAGATGGCAGAAAAGATGCACAAAAAACGAGTCGAGCGTCTAAAGAGAAAGGAAAAGCGCAATAAGCTCCTTAATTCATGAGCCGTCCAAATATCCTAGAGAACCACGTCTACGATTATTTTCATACATATTAAGGAGTGGTGGACACGCGCGGCGAGTCGACTCAATAGTAACAGCAAAAGCAACCTGTGGGATTAAATTCTCTTTTCCGTCGATGGATTCTGAGAGATTTATGGACACGAAGATAATCAAGAATCGGATCCAGGTTGGCTTATTATCCAAGATTGGGAAAAGGCACATGGTATCCAACATGCGGAAGTCCCCAATGGGTATTGCTTCAAAGCCGGTAGTGACAATTTGAGATCGGCAAGGCAGACAGGGAGCAGGTTGAACTGTGCGCAACGAGATAGCATCCAACTCTGCGACGGTCGACATAGCTATGTAGTAACATAGCATCACATCCACATCCACATCACCTAACCTATAAGTTACAATCTTCAATTTAACATTCCAAGCCCTTATACTCATGCATCGTTATGCTAGGACCAACATGCTATACGATAGGCGTTTACATTTTAGCCATGTGAGCTTACTACACTTTATACATGTAGATAAGTGTTTCGACTGCATACTTATATGATAGGCGTTTCTTTAAATATCTTTAAATATTGTGGTGGTAAGATATGTAAGATATATATATAAGGTAGATATTATACCGGTAAAATATAGTTTTAAAATATGATATTTTTAAGGGGGAATGATTTTTATATAAGGAATTATTATTAATATAAAAATTATTTTTTTTTATAAAATATTATATTGGTTAATTTATATGGGAAATATAATATAAAAAATAATTTTAAATTTAATAATTATTATTATATTAAAAATTATTTTATATTTATATAATTTATTATAAATTATTATTTATA